AGAGTTTCGGCTCCGACCTTCCTGTTTTGCGTCTGCACTCAGACAGAGGCGGGGAGTTTTCCTCTGACCTTCTGAGAGCCTTCTGTCGTTTGGAGGGCATCCGCCAGACGTTCACGCTTCCGGCCTCCCCGCAGCAAAATGGGATTGCTGAGCGCCGCTTTGGCATGGTCATGGATGTCGCTCGTACGTCCATGATCCATGCGGCTGCTCCCCACTTTCTGTGGCCGTTTGCGGTTCAGTACGCTGCGCATCAGATCAACCTTCAGCCTCGTGTCTCCTTGCCGGAGACCACACCTACTCTGCGGTGGACGGGGAAGGTTGGCGATGCGTCCGCGTTCCGTGTCTGGGGATCTCGAGCTTTTGTCCGCGATACTACTGCGGACAAGCTGTCCTCCCGTGCCGTTCCCTGTGTCTTCCTTGGCTTCCCTCCTGACGCACCCGAGTGGCAGTTCTACCACCCCAGCTCGCGTCGTGTTTTGTCCTCGCAGGACGTCACGTTTGACGATTCGGTGTCGTACTACCGTCTCTTTCCCTACCGCACTGCCTCTCCCCCTCCCCCGCCGCTCTTCCTTGCCCTAGGTACTCCTCCGGTAGTCCCCCTTCCCCCCCAGGGTCCTGCCCCCTCAGGTGTGTCCCAGGTAGACCCTGCCGAGCCGGTCGAGGTAGCTGTCGACTCCGGTGCTGCTAGGGGTGCTGACCCTGCGGGTGCTGAGACTGGGGGTGCTGAGTCTGGGGTGTGAGACTGGGCGTGCTGAGCCTGGGGGTGTGGCGCCTGAGGGTACTGTGTCTGGAGGTGCTGAGCCTGCGCGTGTTGAGTCTGGAGGTGCTCTGGGTGTCCCGTCGCGGCGGGAGCCCCTCTCTCCACAGCGGCTTCGTGAGTGGTACTCTCGGCGCTGTCGGGTTGCTGCTGGAGGTGCTGCTGGTGCGGGTGCTGCTGGAGGTGGTGTAGGTGCTGCTGGTGCTGCTGTAGGTGCTGCTGGTGCTGCTGTAGGTGCTGCTGGTGCTGGAGCTGCTGGAGGTGCTGCTGGTGCTGGAGGTGCTACTGGAGCTACTGGAGGTGCTGGTGCTGCTGGAGGTGGTGCTGGTGCTGGAGCTGCTGGAGGTGCTGCTGGTGCTGGAGCTGCTGGAGGTGCTGCTAGGACTGGAGACCCTGAGGCTGAGGGTCCCGGTTCTGTCTCTGCTGTTTCTCGAGGCGCTGCGCGGCCGCGGCCGTACTACGTTCCGCTTCTTCAGCAGGTTCTTGGCTCCCCACATTCTCCTGGTCCTCCTCCTCCTTCCCTGAGTCCACCGCCTGTCCCGTCTCAGTCGCAGTTACAGCCGGCCTCTCCGCTGCCTGGTCCTTCTCCTTACTCTGGTCCGACTATAGGTCTTACGGAGCGTCGTGAGCCTGAGTCGCGTCCTGTGTCGCCTGCGTCTCGTTCTACGTCGCCTGTCCGTTCTGTTCGCGCTGGTCGTGTTTCGCGTCCGCGTCTTCCTCCTGTCCCTGGCACTCACTCTATGACTCTGCGTCCTTCCACTGCTCCACAGCGTGTCCCTCTGCCCTCTCCTCCTGCGTCCTCTCTTCCTGACGGTCCGGACCCGGAGTCTGACTCCCTTCGTGCTGCTAGTCCTACTGTCACGCGCTTTCTGGCCACTGCTGTCACTGACCCCCTGTTTGAGTTCTCTGCTGCGTCTGCTCTTGTTGCTAAGCTTGTTGACTTTGCTGCAGCCTGTCGCCTAGACTACGCCGCTAGTCTTGTTGCTGAGTCTGCGTCTGTGTCTGTCTGTCCTCCGTCCGTCGGGGGTGAGTGTGCTCTTGGCACGGACGTCCTTGAGGACAGGCAGGAGGACCTTGAGTGTTTTGCAGCTGCTTCACCTCATCTCGTGTCCATGCTGCTTGCCCCTGAGGGAGACCCGGATGCACTAGACATCCCGACCCCGCGCTCTTACGCAGAGGCGATAGTGGGTCCCTACTCCTCCCAGTGGCAGGCAGCCATGGACGCAGAGATGGCTTCCTGGAAGTCCACAGGCACCTACGTAGACGAGGTTCCCCCACCTGGGGCGAACATCGTCAGTGGCATGTGGATCTTCAGGGTGAAGCGGCCGCCGGTTTCTCCGCCTGCCTTCAAGGCGCGTTACGTTGCACGTGGCTTTAGTCAGCGACAGGGAGTTGACTTCTTTCAGACCTTCTCCCCTACCCCGAAGATGACCACTCTTCGGGTACTGCTGCACGTTGCTGCTTAGCGTGACTACGAGCTCCACTCGCTTGACTTCAGCACAGCCTTCCTACAGGGCAGCCTGCACGAGGAGATCTGGCTGCGCCGCCCACCTGGCTTCACTGGGTCGTCTCCTCCTGGTACCCAGTGGAGCCTCCGGCGGCCAGTCTACGGTCTCTGCCAGGCGCCTCGTGAGTGGCACGACACGCTCAGGACGACTCTTGCAGCTCTTGGTTTTGCTCCTTCCACTGCTGACCCTTCTCTGTTTCTACGCACTGACGCTACTCTGCCGCCGTTCTACGTTCTTGTGTACGTAGACGACCTTGTCTTTGCTACTGCTGACACGGAGGCACTCGCCCACGTGAAGTCCGAGCTGCAGAAGAGACACACGTGCACAGACCAGGGTGAGCTCACAAGCTATCTTGGCTTGCGGATCACCCGGGACAGAGCACAGCGCACCATTACCTTGACTCAGTCACACATGGTGCAGTAGGTCCTTCAGCGCTTCGGCTTCACCTACTCCTCGCCACAGTCCACTCCTCTGCCTACCGGTCACTCGCTCTCAGCTCCACCTTCGGACGAGTCCGTAGAGCCGAATGGCCCGTATCCAGAGCTTGTGGGCTGCCTCATGTACCTGATGACTTGCACACGACCTGACCTCGCATACCCTCTCAGCCTTCTGGCTCGCTACGTGGCTCCCGGCAGGCACCGAAAGGTGCACTAGGATGCTGCGAAGGGGGTGTTGCGATACTTGTGCAGTACATCGGGCATGGGGCTCGTGCTTGGAGGACGGGCTCGAGTTGTCCTCACTGGTCACGCTGACGCCTCCTGGGTTGACGACTTGGCTACGCAGCGGTCGTCACAGGGTTACACCTTCAGCCTTGGCTCCGGTTCTGTCTCCTGGCGGTCTACCCGCTCTTCTTCTGTTCTCAGCTCCAGTTGCGAGGCTGAGATCTACGCTGGGGCCATGGCTGCACAGGAGCTTCGCTGGCTCACCTACCTGCTGACCGACTTGGGAGAGGCGCCTCGTTCTCCTCCAGTTCTGTACGTCGACAACAAGGCCATGCTGGCCTTGTGTCAGGAGCACAGACTGGAGCACAGAACGAAGCACATTGCTCTGCGCTACTTCCTTGCTCGAGAGTTGCAGCAGCGTGGCCAGCTTCGTCTTGCTTACGTGGCCTCTCAGGCAAACACTGCTGATGTTTTCACCAAGGCACTTCAGCCTTGTGATCATCAGCGTTTCTGTACTGTGTTAGGCCTTGTACCTACTGTGCCTCACTTGTTGACTTCTTGACTCTGCTTGTACTGTATTCTATATACTTATACCTGCATGCTTACACTTGCTAGGTTGTGTTCACTGTATTGTTTGCTTTCCTTTATATAACTCTGCATGTGAACTGGCCTTTTGGCCCTTTGCTTGTGCTCAGACTGTGTGGTGACTTTGTGATCCACCCTGAGTTTGCTTTGTCTTTCTTGACTGGTCTTGTGACCCCTTGTTCTCCCCCACTTTGCCTATGGGGGTGTGTCAAACATATATTTACTATAGTCTGTTTAGGCTGTAGTGGGGTAGTCCTTAGAGGGTACAATACTTATGTGTTTCCTACTTGTACCCTTCTCATTTCCTAATTCATTCATTTCTTTCGTCAAATCCTTCTCACATGTCCTTGCTGTCGCACTGTACTTTTCGTCGAGTCAAAGGTCAGCGACCTTTGACCTTCGCGTAACCTCCAGCGGTTGCTTTTGTTGACTCGTGTTTTGCTTCGCTGTAGTCTGCTCTGTTTCATGTCAACACTTCGATGCTTCAGAAACGTTTAAATTACTTGTTTCCGACACCACATACGATGAGGGGGTACACACTCCCCTTGGGGCTATTCTAGATCGAGAAAACCGTGTGGTTCGGTTACCGTTTGAATTGTTTTTTCTTGCATTGGATCTCAAATACTTCCTGCTGCAGCCGTTTTCGATACTAACCGCTTTTGTTTCTCGGTCTTTGTCATCGCTTCATTCTTCTTCGTGTTAAGACTTTGTGACTTAAAGAATATTTATGCAACAGTTTCATATCGTAAGAGTATGCAAGGGTAATCCAACTTCAATGCCGTACCATAGATCTCCCGCATAAAGGACCGGAGTCTCATATGAAATTATGAGTACATGTGACACATCACTGCCATCCATCCACTCCGCCCCTCGGCCATGCTTCCACCCTTCACTTCCTCCATCGTTCCCCTTGTCCATCCCTCCCATCGCGTTCCTACACCACGTTCCATCGACTTCCGCCCATCCCGCTCTGCCCATCGACCCTCCGTCCATCGCGCTCCTGCGTGCGCGCGTCCATCGTGCATGGCTCGAGCGAATGCAAGCCGATGGGCCTCGCCGCCGGCGACGGTTGCTATTGAAGCGCGCGCGTTGCTGCGGCACCCCTCGTCGAGCCATGCCAGTCCGCCACGAATCCCCCGATGCATTATTGCGGACACTCCGCCTCTCATTCCCCCTATTGCCTTCCTCCATCGCGTTCCACCCATCGAGCTCCGGTCCATCTCCTGCGTGCGCACCCATCGGGCATGGCTCGAGTGAATGCACGCTGCTGGGCCTTGCCTTTTTGAAGCACTCGGATGGGCTTCTTCTCGTTCCCCGGCGTCAACGGCGTTGCGTCTCTCATTTCGCATCCTGTTGATCGCACCTTGCTCATTTCACTCAACCGCTCGCAATCACCAGCAATCGCCGCCGGCCCAGCAGGTCGTCACGAGGGTTCGCCTTTCCGCGCGACTGGAAAGAGGTTGAAGGCCTTCGCCGTGTGCCGTCGCAATGGCTCACTGCGGGCGGCCGTCTGTCGTTGGCGTCGTCGCACTCGTCGCCGGGCTCGCTGCGATCAGCCTCCTCGCGACCCACGCCAGCGCAGGTGAGCGCCGTGCTCCTATCGCCACTCCCGGTCTTCAGATGGTGAGTGCTGCCAGCCACCGGCGGAACCACTGCTTGAGAGCGTGAGTAGGGAGAATGAGGCAGAATTGTAACCTCTTCTAACCCCCTCTGCCCTGCGTCAAACCCACCTCGACTGCCCCGCAGACGCGTGTGCCACCGTGGACTGCGGCTCAGACGCTTACTGCTTAGCGCCCGAGGATGGGCCCCCCGTGTGCCTCTGCAATTATTCTGGCTATGCTTTCAACGACACGAGCAAGACATGCACTGGTGGGTGAGTGGTGGGAGTGTGGGCGAGTGAGTGCACGTGTGGAAGTGAGTCCAATGTGGTGTCGGCTGCGTGGCCGAATGTTCTCACTCAGCTGTGCTCTCAGTCAGCTGTGCTCTCAGTCAGCTGTGCTCTCACTCAGCTGTGCTCTCACTCAGCTGTGCTCTCACTCAGCTGTTCTCTCATCTCAGGTAGTCGCAAGGAAAGAGCTGTCACCTGCCAAAACGTGTATGGTCAGCTGCCCAGGGCGTATGGTCAGCTGCCCAGGGCGTATGGTCAGCTGCCAACACTCAATGTGAGCGTTTCTATTCTTGCTCCTTGCCGTCTCCCCTCCCTCCTTCTTCCACCCTCTCCCCTTGGCGTGCCCACTGCAGACCCATGCGAGTCAGTGCCGTGTCCCGAAATGACACAGTGCGTGGCGCAAGATGGACAGGCGCAGTGCGAGTGCCCCGGGCTCTACATCATGCAGAACGGCACCTGCATGGGTGATCTGCACGGGTGATCTGCACGGGTGATCTGCACGGGTGATCTGCACGGGTGATCTGCACGGGTGATCTGCACGGGTGATCTGCACGGGTGATCTGCACGGGTGATCTGCACGGGTGATCTGCACGGGTGATCTGCACGGGTGATCTGCACGGGTGATCTGCACAGGTGATCTGCACAAGTGATCTGCACGGGTGATCTGCACGGGTGATCTGCACGGGTGATCTGCACGGGTGATCTGCACGGGTGAGCCGCGACCACAGATTTCTCTTGAGGCAATCACACCTACTCGCGCTTCAACAGTTGCATTGTAACCCCTTGGAAGCAGCCTTGAGCAGCACTCGCCTCGTCCATGTTCTCCTCCGTCCCTCAATCCTCCCCACTCCCCTCCCGACACCCTCTTGCCCCTTCATTCCGCTCTCTTCCCCTCTGCTGCAACATCTCGACGGCGTGCCGCAACGTGCCACGCCCACGGTGGTCGCGCGGATGGAGAGCTGCAGACGGTGGTGCAGGTGGAGGGTGGCGACGACCTGCAGCTGCTGTCCTTCCAGAGCCCCGTGCCCATGGCGAACGCCACGGGCGCCACTGCTTGCACCAACATCAGCGACCTGGGCGGCAGCAGCACCAAGATCGAAGTGGGATGGAAGGGCAATGGTCCGCAATGCCTTCCCTTACACAAAAACGTGAGCGATGGTGGTGATGAATGGGCAGTGTGGTTTCTTCCGCTGTGCCTCTAGCGTTTCAGAAGGGGTCCAGTCAGCAAAGTTGTTGTCTTCACGTGTCAACGGTGTGCTTGTCTGTGATCTGCCCTGCCCTCGCCTTGCCACTCGCAGGACTGCGGAAGCAGCCCAGGCGCGATCAGTCAGGTGCGAGATCAGTGAGGTGCGAGATCAGTGAGGTGCGAGATGAGTAAGTGGGAGAGCAGAAGCGTGTGGGAAGAGCGTGCGTATAACCCAAGGGTTGTCTTCACCCTTTGAATGCATGCACTGCACATTGCGACAGAGGTCCCAGCACCTTCACCTCTATATTCTTACAATCTCTTGAATGACTTGTTCTTGCACTCCTGGTTGTGTGGGAGTGACTGTGTGTGCGATTTGGAGACACAGCCACAGCCCTTTGAATGAACCTTATTTCCGCCTTCTATGCCTGAAGTGCCTTACTGACCCCTTTCCCCTGTCCCCCTTGTATGCCTGGTTGGTGTGTGCCTCTGTGCTGCCAACATCAGCCACGTGTCACAAGGACTGCGACAAGAAACCCCCTCGTACGTCTCTCTGTCCCCGCTTCTGTGCAACCATGACATACCACAATAATGCTACGAGTGCATGCTTTTATGTCCTCCGTCTCTCCTGCTCATGCTCCATTCTTCCACCTCTCACACCCACCCCACCCGCTTGACAGCCGTGTGGAAGCCTGCCTGCACTGCCAACTTCCGGTGCATGGCGGTGAAAGGAAAACCAACGTGTCAGTGCAAAAAAGGGTTCAAGCTGGTCAACAAGAAGTGCACACGTACGAGCAAGGGCGAAGAGTGAAGAGTATTCTGTCCTAGTTTATTTATCTTCGAAACATCCATAGCTGCAGGCATCATGCGTGTCCCCCTCTCCCACAACCTCCACCACCACAACCACTGTGCATCCTATTCTCTTTGACCTACCCTACTCTTTTACTGTCCTCATGATCTGCTTTCTGTTCTCTTGTTTCATTCGTTTACATCTCGTTGAGTGCTCTTCCCACCCTTCTGCCCTTTGTTATGCTGCAGGGGTGAGCTGGTTCCGCTTGAAAGGGCTCGTGTGATCCAAGGGGTCAACTTACGCTATGAAGGGGCAGTGCCACTCAATAACAGAGGTGCTAGCGACTGCAGAGGGCAGGGATCAAGTCTAGGTGGTTGTGGGCTGGGTTACTTTGTGTGTATTGTATAGATGCTCTTGCGTACCATAGCAGTGTACTTATTTGGCTCTTTGCATACGTATTCAACACGCTACACAGTTTCACGTAAACAGCAATTGCCACTACCACGTAAATTAAACGGCACCAATAAGGTGGTACACTTAGCTGTGCACGGCATGCAAGCGTGGTGCTACTGGAGATGGAGGCGGTTGAAGAGGAGCACCAGCTGCTCGAATGACAGCTCCTCGGGACGGGCCTGCAAGCAGGAGGTGCGGGCAGTGGGAGGCGTGCAGGCAATGAACATAAGATGTGTGTGCATGTGTGATGCTATGGGTCATAGGACTAACAGAGTGTCAGCAAGGATGGAAGGTGACTAAAGGCATTACTGCTCTGCAATGAGACTGCAATGGGCTGTGCACGCCAGCAGAACATGGGGCTTGGAAGGAGAGACACTATGGCGCTCGCTTCAGGGGGTCAAAAGCGATTCAGACCACTCAACAACCAAGCTTACCGCTCAGCACACCACCCACTGCACCTCACCCTGTGCCCCTCCCGCTGCACCACACCCTGTGACCCCCTAACGGCACCACGTGACTCACAGTGGCGGGCAGCGAGAGCGCCTCGAGAGCGGCGGAAACCTGCAGCGACGAGAAGGAGGGCTGCAGCGACGCCCGCAGCATCTTGCGCTTCGCCTGGAACGCCCTGTTCACCTGCCCTCGTGCCGTGGTGGGGTGTGGGGGAAAGCAGGAGTGTCAGGGCAGGAATGACGACAGATCAGATGGTGCAGCGATAAATGAGTGACAGAGTGTGTGTCCACACACACAATCCAACACCTCCGTGGCAACGAGTGCGGGGTAATGAGCATGGGTGGCACCGTGTTGTGAAGAGCGTTAGGGTGGTTACCATGTGGAAGAACTGGGTGGGCGATGCCACGTGGACTCGTTCCATTGGTGGCTTGAGGGCGAATGACACGACTGCTGCATCAACCTGGTCCATGAGAGACACGACCAGACATGAGATGGTCATTGAGAGAGCCCAGCTGAGGAGTTTATTGCAACTGCGTAGAGCAGAAACGGAGGACAAAACAAAGGTGTCACATGCACAGGGTGCCATTGTGCACATGACATGGGGTACTGGAGGCATGCAGCACGGGCATGGGGCATGGGGCATGGGGGGAATGGGGCGTGCAGCATGGGGCATGCAGATTACGGCATGCGGCATGGGGCTTGCGGCATGGGGCTTGCGGCATGGGGCTTGTGGCATGGGCACAGGGCACGGGGCAAGGGACATGGGCCATACATTGGGGGGCGGTAGGAAGCTGCGGCGGCTGACGAAGAACTGATAGGTGGGGTCTGATGGGGGCCCGGTGATGCCCAGGTGGGGGAGAGTGAGCGATGGGGAGAGAGGAGTGAGAGATGGGGAGAAGGGAGTGAGCGATGGGGAGAGGGGAGTGAGCGATGGGGAGAGGGGAGTGAGCGCTGGGGAGAGGGGAGTGAGCGATGGGGAGAGGGGAGTGAGCGATGGGGAGAGGGGAGTGAGCGATGGGGAGAGGGGAGTGAGAGATGGGGAGAGAGGAGTGAGAGATGGGGAGAGGGGAGTGAGATGGGGAGAGGGGAGTGAGAGATGGGGAGAGAGGAGTGAGAGATGGGGAGAGGGGAGTGAGATGGGGAGAGGGGAGTGAGATGGGGAGAGGGAGTGAGAGATGGGGAGAGATGAGTGAATGATGGGGAGAGGGGAGTGAGAGATGGGGAGAGGGGAGTGCGAGATGAGGAGGGAATTGAGAATAAAGGGTGCAGAGTAAGAGATGAGGGGATTGCAGTGTATTGGGGAAGCTTTGACATGGTGCTGCTTGCTCAGGCAGAGCCGACACCTCACCTGCATGGCACCTCACCTGCATGGCAACTCACCTGCATGGCACCTCATCTGCATGGCACCTCATCTGCATGGCACCTCACCTGCATGGCACCTCACCTGCATGGCACCTCACCTGCATGGCACCTCACCTGCATGGTAGCGCACAAGCACGCTCATAGAAGAGGCAGAGCAGAGAGCTCACCTGCATAGTAGTGCACCAACACACTCACCTGCATAGTAGTGCACCAACACACTCACCTGCATAGTAGTGCACCAACACACTCACCTGCATAGTAGTGCACCAACACACTCACCTGCATAGTAGTGCACCAACACACTCACCTGCATAGTAGTGCACCAACACACTCACCTGCATAGTAGTGCACCAACACACTCACCTGCATAGTAGTGCACCAACACACTCACCTGCATAGTAGTGCACCAACACACTCACCTGCATAGTAGTGCACCAACACACTCACCTGCATAGT